ATATTGAGTGATACATTAGAGCGAAGTTGTCACAACTCTGCCAAGAAACGCCTTCTTTTCTAACATTCTTTCCACAGCCAACGTTGAACCCAGCGTCTTCTGCTTCCGTGCCACTCGGAATTATCGATCGCATACGCACTTTGACCTTTTAGTAGAAGACAATTCATAAAGGTAAGACCACCTCAAATAAGGGAAGTAACAAAATTAATTTTGAAAAATTACAGTACATGTTGGATTATCCTTATTTGATAATCTGTATGTTGTTACTAGTTTTTCGTAGTTTATCCATTTTCTTTCACTTGTAGACCTACAAAATAGAAAGCACTATTGGAAATCCGATTTCACCTATTTTGAAGCGGGCTAAAAATAAAATATGTACATTGTTTGCACCTATTTATTATTTTATAAGATGTAATAGTTCTTTTTTTTTTTTTTTTTTTTTTAGTTAACGCCACGTAAGTGTATAAATACAATGATGACAATGCTAGCCCTCTTCTGACAGGTGACAAGTTTGTCGAATTGTAAAGTTTCATTAGTCTTCCATTGGATTTGATCACAGGCAATCATGTTCTAATTATGTGAATCAAATACAATCATGCTCTAATTTTACATTTTGTCTGGACTAGAGGATGGTAGTTTTGTAGTCTGTATCTCATAGTTTGATATCCAAACCTAAGGGACATTTTGTTAACCCAAAGCTATGGCTATTTTTTAACATTAACAATGATGACTATAATAGATCACTGGAGACATATTTACATGTCAAAAACAAAAGTGCTATTGTAATCTTATTTTAGCCTTATGTTTGTCATGTTCAAAATATCCCCTTTCCTCTGCTTTACTTATCAAGCAATGGACCCACAGGTGACACCTATGATTTTGCATCAAAATACAAACTCACTCTTTTTTTTTTTTTTCAGTGTTCTGTTTTTACTGTTGAACTTAATAGGTATAAAGGTTTCTGAACAGGGATACTAGTGATGTTGATTTAAAAAAACAACTATTACAGTTACAACTGTATCACATGTCCCCCTTATTATTAACAAAATTTTAGCCTCCAGCAGAATTCAAGATCAAGAGACTTTGTTAAGCAGCAAAGGGAAATATCATTTGATCACTTCACACCATTTAACTATTTACATAAATGTGATTCATTATTATTACAAAGCTTATATCAACTCATTTGTTAAAAAGTTTGTACATATGTTATTTCTCCCACACCTAATCTCAGATCAAGCCGAAATTTTGCACAATTATTTCTTTTTCTTGTCAACTTAAGAATCAATTTTAAAAATTAATTAATTAGTTAATTAACTATTGGTAATTATTTTGTTTAGTAGCTTGAACAAGGGAAAGAAATTTTACTTGACTGATAAGGTGGTATAAGTTGAATTAGTTCCCTTTATGGTTTGTAGAAAGAAATATTTTAAAATTATTTTTATGTTTTTCTTGTTTTAGTTTTTTGTCATAATATTATAAAATTCTTGAGATCTGATAATATAATCCTGCCTACTGTCATAGGTGCTACTGCAGAAATATTTGGGCATTGAGGTGGAGCAAACATTATTCTAGAAAGAATATCTATGACTGGTAGCCTTAATAAAACTTCTATGAACTAAAAAAAAAACATAGAAAGTACAAAAAGTGAATGAGACCCTCATTTTACTTCTTTTAGCATTAAGGAGGACATGTGGCATTAATTGCTTTCTGACACTTTCCATCTTTGGCTTGAGGATAGAAATACTTGTGCATGAATGAGAGGTTAGGTTTTTGTGTCTTTTAAAATAAACCATTTTAGTAAAACAATTACAGTACAAGCACAAAACTTCAAAAATTTAAAAAAAAAAATTGATCACATGAATTCAATTATAAACAAAACAATTGTTGACATTTCAGGTTAATTTAATAGTTATTAAATAATTCTTTTAAAAAAAAATCAGCACTGTTAACTTAAAATTTGAATAATTTGTCGAGCTCTCTCTTCTTTGTCTACATTGGATGAATCTGTAAAAATAATTATAAAAAAAGATAATAATAAGCAAAGCAATGTTTTGATTTGGTCTGTGTCAGGGAGAGGAGATGCAATTATTTTAAGGTAATAATGTCAACAGTGTTATAAAAAATTATTAATTTTCTTTAATGGACTATTTGGAATGTCATTTTGAACAAAAATTAAGCAATAACTCAGTCATAAGGAAAAGAAATTAATATATACCAGTGTCTTGTTTATCATTGTTTATTATCTTTTCAGCATCTTCTATGGTTTTTTCCCTTGATTTCCCATTCAGGCCTTCAAGATACAGAAGCATGACATCAAAGTCTCCATCATTTAACTATAAGTAAAACAAACAGCATAAATCAGTGTCATTTTCAGATGAAAATATGTTACAAAATAGCTGTATGATACTTGGAGTGTGTTGTGGATATGTATTGTATAGCACTTAAAAAAATAATGAAATGTACATTCATAATATTGTTTTGGCTTTATTCATGTAACTGACATTTACCTAAATTTACACTTACCACTACACTCTCTCTAAAGTAAATTAATGAAGAGAACAATAAAAGCAAAAAATGTACAGCTAAAATATATAACAAGTGCTTGTGTAATTGAAGACCAACATATCGACTTTCTATGGCATTATTTTTAAATCAGATTAAAGACAGGAAATTTATACAGGAATATATCATGTGACGATATATTTACAGAGACTGCAAATGAATGTATCATCAACATTCAATGGGGAAGGGCATTTTTAATTTATAATTGGTGATTTGTATTCAAACAAATAATAGATGTAAAAAAAAAAGGGGTGTTTTTTTTTGTATGAAACCTTATAAATGAGTTATCTATAGAATTAGTTCAATAAATAAGAAGGAAAAAAAAAGTATAAAAAATAATAACTTTACCTACCAAAGATTTGTCATACATAATATGTAATAAGTGAACTTGTAACATTTTGTTAAACTTCCATTTCTTTTGATTAGAGTGCCATGATCTAAGATAATCAAGAGTTCTTTCATTTTTGTTCTTATCTGATGGAGTGGGTGTATCTTTTTCTTTGTCTTTTTTCTTCTTTTTCACTTTGGGTGTTTCAGGAAGCGAGGTCTCAGTATCTTCCATAGGAAGCCCTAAATTTATTCCTGCCTGTTGCAAAATGTCTGTGTCTACTACACCCAAATTGATTTCTTCTTTAGATTTTTTGTCTTTCTTACTTCTTTTCATTACAGAAGATGCTAAAACAATTTCTTCTGATGATGATTCTCTATTAGAACTTTTCTTTTTCTTTTTTCTGATACTATTTTCTGCTTCTTCAGTTTCTTCATTTGATTTTTTGTCTTTCTTACTTCTTTTGGTTTCAGAAACTTCAGTTACAGAAGATGTTAAACCAATTTCTTCTGATGATGATTCTCTATTAGAACATGTCTTTTGCTTCTTTTTTGAACTTTCTACTTCTTCTGTTTCTTCAGCTTTTCTAGTTCTTTTTCTTGAACGTTCATTTTTTGAAAAAACAAAACTAGAATCCTTTTCATGTCTAGTCAGGTCAATTACCTCTCCTTTCATTTCTTCCTCATTGATTGAATTAGTTTTCTTTTTCTTATGTTTCTTTTGGACAGATTCATGAATGTCTACAACTGTGGAGATAGTAATAGAAAATTGTTTTGATGTATATACAAAACAAAACTAATTAATAAATAATTATGTACTGTAACTATAAAAAAAAACTTTGTGGACTTGAGTTCTTATTGATTCTAATAAGGCTTAAATCTTACTACTGTTATGTACTAGATTAGAGAATGTTAGTTTTGTTTGACAAACATATTGTGTCTTGTTTTGAGCCTAGGTAAAAGTAGTGACATAGTAAGACAGACTAATGACATAGTAGAAAGAATAGACAAACAAGGGAGCAACATGGCGATAATATAGAAGTAGGCTGTTTTGGATGTGAATTGAATTGGATATAGCAACGTTTATGAAGACTAGATGGACTTCCCAGTGATAAATAAAGGTGTCATTTTATAAAAGTGAAAGTTGTTATCACGTATATTTTTAACTTGTATGTTAATTTAACATCTGGACCGCAACGATAAGCATAAGGGGTAGGGTGAACAAGACTACATGATGGACATGAGTGTAAAAAAAGGCCTACATTGTGAAAATAAAAATGTTGCCTGCAGTTACCTAAGTGAAGGTTGTAAAGATCACATTATTTTTTTTTTATGTCTAATTTTTATCACATACTATCCTCATGCTTTTCAAAAATTAACAAAAAACTTGGATAAGGCAAGATCTCAAGTAATCAAAATTTTTTTGGACGTAATTGCAACAAAAGTTACAATGTACCCTTTCAATCCCCTGACCCCTGTATGTACCTTTAATGTAAACAAATTAAACATGTGCCTACAATATAAAAAATAACAATATGTTACTATCCAGTGAACAATTTGTCAGTGAACGATTAGTTGTGTGTGCAATTAGTCCGAAACCAACTGTTGGTGAACAAGTTGTCAGTGAACAAGTTGTCTATGAGCTAGATCTAGTTGTCGGTGAGAAATATAATGTGTGAATGATGTGTAGGTGAACAAATAGTTGTGAAATATTTGTCTGCGAATAAAATGTCAGTGAACGATTTGTCTTGAAACCTTAGTTTGTATGACTAGAACTAGAATTGACTAGTAGATATTATATCATATATATACTAACTAGACTGTCTGACTAGAGATCTAGATGTAATGTTTATAATATAAAGTTATTAATATTATTATCTAGAATAAAAAGATTTTTAACAAATCAGGTAAACTTTAAACCCGTTTTCAAATAATTATTATATTATTATTTATACAATAATAGTAAAAATAATTGGTAAATAATCATTTTCATAATCATGATAATCGATAATATTAAATAGAATCTAGACTCTATTAGTATTATAATTAGTACTATAGACTATAGTATTACCCATTATTAAATGATTATTTTAATTAACTTGGTGAATCAAGACTCAAGTCTCAACCTCAAGTTGATTATAAAATAAAAATTATAAGATTTATTAATAATTTAATTAGATTTAGTAATAACTAATATAATAATCCGACTAATGTGTAAATCTAGATTTCAAATTTATCTAGATCTTGATTAGATCTAAGAAAAGATACAAAATAATAAGTAAGCTTTCTTAGTCTTGATCGAAAAGCTAGATCTAAGCCTAAGCTTTCCACGTTTAGTTTAGAATCTAGAAATTAAAATAGAAAATAAAAATAGATTTATTTGACCCGGAAATATTTTTTATTAAGAACCTCCTTCACTGACCAACATTTTTTTCCCTAATATTTTGCAAATAGAGATTGTCATCGATGGCAGATAACCAGTGTCAGTGTCGGTCTGGGTAGACTCTCGATCTATATATATCTATATCTATCATGGGCGTAGCCAGGATTTTTTTTCGGGGGGGGGGGGGGTTGGGGATAAACTCAAAACCCCCCTGGTAGGGGTTTTAAACTCAAAACCCCCTAGTAAGTGGTTTTAAACTCAAAACCCCTTGGCTTTGCTGGGGCATGTGATGGTTTAGTATTAAGATCTCAACTAAAATAAATAGAATCAAAGCAAAATATCAGTCACTAAATTCCGATCTTCTCCCTGCGGGGGAGGGGATTTCATTTCGGAGGGGGGGGGGGGGAAGGTTTGAACCCCAAAACCTCCCTTGGCTACGCCCATGGTATGTTCTAAAAATGTCACATGCAAATATTAAATGTGAAAGTGAATCAGATGATGGGATAAAAAATCTATCAAACAATTCTCTCTCTCTCTCTCTTTAAATAAAAACTATAGGCCTATGAAAATGTATACTAGTGATAAAAATAATGTCGTTTTATACGTTGCTATATTAGAAATAGCACCAATCAAATTGATTCTCCGAGAGTAGTTCATTTCACTGATCCAAAACAAAACACCCCATATATATTTTATGTAGTTGTAATCTGATAGTGATAAAACAAAACACCACATATAAGCCATAATAGGGACACATATCTTTTATGTACCGGTATTTGTAATCTGAAAGTTCAAAACAAAACAAAACACCCCATATAGGGAAACACATCTTATATGTATTTGTAATCTGCAAGTTAAAAAACAAAACACCCCATATAGGGACACACATCTTATATGTATTACGTATTACTAATCTGCAAGTTGAAAACAAATAAAAAAAATAAACAAAATCCAAGCAAAAACCAGTCACTAAATTCCGATCCCCCCAGGGGGGGGGGAAATTTCATTTAGGGGGGGGGGGGGGGGTTTGACCTCCAACCTCCCCCCGGCTACGCCCATGATATCTATGCCATTCGGCCCTCGGGCAAATGGACGGTGGCCACCCAATGAGCCGGGGGCCTCCCCCGAATGGGCGCTTTGAGTGATAGTAAGACCCATACATTATTTGATAGAGTCTCAGAGTGTCGAGATCGTGATGGGTCTTCGCTTTACCTTCTATTACATAGTGTTAAATAGATTTTACAATGTATAATACTAGCCAAACACATTTTCCTTAATGATGGAATAGCCTACCAATGTAGCCTAAACATGGCCGCCTTCGTGCAAAATTGAAACATGCCGCCCCCTCCCCTTTTTTTTTTCCTTTCTAGAGAAAAAAAATTCCATTAAGACTGAGCTGGACACTGTTCTATAAGTCCAATTTGATTTAAATCCATTTTTTTGTAGACCATTCTATTTTTCTTTTCATATTCGCACCGTTGTTGTATCCCTCTAGTAAAACTATGAATCATACACTAGGAACAATTTCGGATATACATACCTACAAAAATCTGATATCTTGGTTCTTTGTGATTAACATATAAAACTGATCTCGTTCTGACTCGCTTATTTTTTGTTTATTTTTGTTTATGCTCCTGTATTTGCGACGATTATAATTGATGAGCTGCGCGGGTATATTACAATGAACAGCGTAAATAATCATGATCTATATACAATTTCTCGATAACTTTGCGAAACAGTGTTATATGGCCCAGACGTTTGTTATAGTACTTTAAACACAATCCACACAAAAATCTCGGAATACAAAAGCCGTTGGCAGTAGAAGTTTTTCAACGTTCCTTAAACTTTCATAATAATTATTACGATTTTTATTTTGGAGAGATGTGCATTGTATTTACAATCATTTGACTTACATGGATTCAGAACTGCCTACAAATTTATCCAACAAATGTAGCAACTTAGCGCTGAATATTTTTCTTGAGTTTAAAACAAAGTAAATAATCTAAATTACAAGTCAACAATGACATCCCCTAGATAACAACATTTTCCAGCCCCCTTTAAAGGCTGGAGCCCAGAGGAGCAATGTAAGCTTACACAGTGAGGTCCGTGAGTTTTTTTATTTTTTTATTATTATTTTAGAATGTAATAAAAAGGAAAAGAAACTTAGTCACAATGTTTAGGTTTTATTTTAAGCCTCTATTAATTGAACACTGCTGAGTATAAAATCCAAAGTAACATCATGAAAGTTCACTATAAGTTTTAGCGTTGCAAAAAGTTCTTCCTGGAGGTAGAATTGAAGATGCGGCAGTTTTCTGCTCACGTCGGCAAGGGGTCTGAACATTTTGTTCACCGCTCCCCCCCCCCCCCCCTGTTGTGGGTGGTTGTTGGCTTGTAACCCAAGACAGCTAGTACAACTGAACCGATGTAAGCGTTTTATATTTTCTAATAAATAAACTTGTAGTAACTTGAACAAATTATTTGTGAACAAAACTCAATATAATTGTTATTATTTACGATTTAACTTGAGATAAAATATAGATCTAATAGTAATACAAAAAAATAAACTGATATTTAAACAAAATCTAGCTCACAACAAAATAAAGTCTTTACTCTTGCATGTCTTAAGATCGTCTCACATTTGCACAGTGGCGTACCTAAGGGGGGGGGATTTTAAGATCCCTCCGGGCCCAAATGGGTGTCCGAAATTTATTTGTCTTTTTTTTCAACATTTATGGATTAAATTTATAACAAAGACTAAACCTCGATCTAGGTCTATCAGTACGTTGACTTTGTTGACATTTTAAAAATATTTTTTCCAACAGAGATCAAAGTTGTTTTTTAAAAGTTAGTTTTACATTTTAAACTTTGTTGCCACGAATAAAACTGCATGATACACAGCGAATTCCAGGTATCTTGTTACCTTTACAAATAATAGATCTAAATGGCGAGTATTTTATGGCTACACCAATTAACCTTGAAGCAAAATTTACAGAATCGAGTATAACAGATCCAAAAGTTATTCTTAATAATGCTAGAATAGTCCATTGTTCGGGTTTGGCGTCTATAATTTCAGAATTAAACTTCACACTCAAGTTATTACCCCACTATTCATCTTTCCTCAATCCAATGGAAACTCTCTTTTTATTTCCATCTAATCCTTTTGCTTTTGCACAAAACATAAACAACAAACAATGACGTAATATCATATAATACTAGCACATCCTTCCTTTTGAAGTTATTATCACACCCTTCCTTTTAAAGTTCTTAAGAGTGATATCTACTAGGAACTTTAACAATTCGTCTACTTCTGGTTGTCTTGACATTGGTCTATAACTGTCTGTTTCGTTTGTTCCAACAGTTGCAGTTCATTGTCTTCATCGGTATCATAGTACCCAGGGATGTCTTCATCGAAACTCTTATTCAAAAAGCGTTGATTTCTTCTGTATGTTTTTCCATCGTTTGTCTTTATGATGTAAGATCTGGGTGCTGAATGTTTTTTTATGACAACTGCTTTCTGCCATGTTTGACCTAGACGAACTCTCCGACAGAATAATCTTTAGGTAGCTTGCTTTTGCATTGTATTTCAATTTGCTTTTCATCTGTCGTTCTTTCAGTAATGTCTCTGCATTTTCAGCTACCGATGGTTTCAATAGTTTGGGATCAGTTGGAATGATTCCCTGATTCTTCTACTCGTCAGCAGTTGCGATGGTGAATACGGCAGTCCGCTTATCGGAGTATTTCTATACTCGAGCATAACGAGATATGGATCTTTCCCACTTTTGTATGCTTTGAATACTTTTGCTTTCAGGCAAAACATAAACAACCAACAATGACGTAATATCATATAATATTAGCACTGAATCTTCTTCATGCAGTGGACAAATAAGAATATTTTGCCTATCTGGAATTCTGGTCAAAGCTTCGGCGCCCAATTAATATAGTTCAGAAGAAACTACAAAAGTCTGGACTGCATATACGGGAAGCTGCTGAAGAAATTAGTACCCTTTCAAGCTTTCTGCAAAATGATGAGAAACTGACAAAAGCCCAATCCATCGAAAAAGCAAAAGAAGGTAGTGAATACTATGGATTCCCTGTAATCAAAACAACCAGAAGAAAGAAAAGACTTGATGGTAAGTTGAGTTATAATGTAGGACTGTCAATAGAACTGCAATTCAAACGTGTTGCGACAGAAGTGCTGGACAGATTTCATATGGAGATGAAGGGCAGATTCCAAAGGCTGGAAAGAAAGTGGATACCTTTGGGTTTCTTCTAGAACCAAGACACCTGTTAAATGAATACATGCTTATGACAAACTGTGCTACTTTTCCTGTTTGTATGATGAAATAAATGGCAAATCGCTTTTTCAATGATGTCATTGATGCACGAGCACTTTTCATCAACAAACCAGTAATACAATCACCAATAGACATATTGAGGAAACAGGCTTAATATGGTAATTACGTGTGCTCAAACCTTGCAACATCCTCGGAATACCGCTAACTCAGGCCACTTCCATTACGTCATGTGAGAGATCATTCTCAAAGCTCAAGTTCATCAAAAACTATCTCAGTAGCACAATGACGCAAGAAAGGCTTATCATGGCTTCAATGTCAGTGAAGTCACAAATACTAGAAAGTATCGATGTAGTTGATGTTATAGATTTCTTTGCTGCACATAATGCACGACGTGAAGCGATATCAATTAAGATTTGTCACTTGTGCATTATTTAACTAATAAACAACAGTATTATTCATTAAAAGAGTCTTAATTATTATTTTTTTGTTAAGTTAACTGATATAGTGAACCAATCCCTAGTTACGCCCCTGCATTTGCACTTGGTACGCTAATTTCATCATCGTCACTGCATAACCACCAATCATATCTTATCTTATATAATATAAACGTTACTTCAAAAAAGAAGATGATTACGTCCTACGCGTCATGTATTCAGTCATGTATGTTAACCAATGACTTAAATTCTGCCAAGTCACTGGTTTTC